TGTGTAAGATAACCCAAAAGCTACGGGGTGACGTATTGTTTTCCTCAAGGGAAAGCATATTCGACATTCTCTCTCCTTCCCACATCAGCCATCATTCACCAGTGTGAACTGCAAGTCATCAGCTTGAATCTCCCCCACTGTCACTGTTTTGTCACCTACCAACACCTGGGTCAGGCCACCGTATTTCACTTTTTAATTTTTTTTTTTTTTAGACGGGGTCTTGCTGTGTCGTGCAGGCTAGAGTGCGGTAGTGTGATCACAGCTCAATGCAGCCCCGTCCTTCCCAGGCTCAAGAGATTCTCCCACCTTAGCCTCCTGAGCAGCTGGGATTTCAGGCGTCTGCCAGCGCACCCGGCTAATTTTTGTATTTGTTGTACAGACTAGGTCTTGCCACGTTCCCCAGGCTGGTCTTGAGCTCAGGTGATCTTCCCCCCTTGGCCTCCCATAGCACCTCATTTCTTGGTCATTTTAGCTCTTGGCTCATCAGTCTTGCTCACAGGGCTCCTGTCTTAATTTGTGGTGATTTCAGCACACGTGTAGATGACCCCTCCTACACCCTGGCCCCTCAGTTCCTTAAACATTTCCACTCCCGTGACCCTGACCCGCATCATGCCCGCCACTCACTCCCATGACTTTGTCATTACAAGTCACAGACTTTCCGACCGCCATGGCCTGTCTTTCCAGCTTCCCCTTCCTAGGACAGCAACTCCAGTCATCTCTCAGCCCCACTGATGCCAATAATCCACAGGTCCTGCCACCTTTTCACCATCCCTCCTGTCACTTCCCGACCTTTCCTCTCTCCTTGCCAGTCTAAACGCCAGGGTGGATTTTACAATCGCTTGCTGCACACACCTGAGATTCCCTTGTTCCACATTTGCCTTGCCTTATTCATTCAAACACGCCACTCTTCCTGCCCTTGAACCCTCAAGCTTAACACAGCTTAAAACCCCCACACACACTCACACACACCACACACACACACCACACCACACACCACACACACACTACACACTACACACATCACACACACACGCCACACCACACACATGCCCCACATACATGCCACACACACACACCACACACACGACATATACACATCACACACGCCACACCACACACATGCCCCACATACATGCCACACACACACACGACATATACACATCACACACACACATCACACACCACACCACAAACACACCCACCACACACCACACCAAACCACATACACACAAAAACACCACACACCACGCACACATACACACCTCACACACACACCATACACCACACACACATACCACACACCCACATATATCACAAATATACACACATCACATCATACGCATACACCACACTACACACACACACACACCACACACACACGCACACACACACGGACTGATCTCGCCTTAGAATCCTCACTGGACTCCTTAGACGGGCTCTTGAGACGGCCCAGCGTTCAGACCACGCTCCCTTCACCACCTCTGCTCCTGCTATCCTAGACGTTCACTCATCTTCTTCTCCCCTCAGACCTCTAGGGTGTCCTTCCCCTTCCAACCTCGGCTGGTGATTTTATTCCCTTTACGTTAAGAAAACATTTCAGAAGCACCATTTGACAGAAATCCTACCACCGTGTCTTCGCCCCGAGAGCGCCTGTACTCACACACTCTGCCTTCCTGCCTGTGGAGTTAGATGAGCTGTCCGTGCTTCTGTGAAGGGACAACCTCTGTGTCACACTCGAAGTTCCTTCCCCTCTCATCCACCTAAGACATGGATCCAACAACCTTTCTGTCTTCCTCCCACATCACCGACGCCACCTCCTCCGCTGCGTCATTCACACTAGCAAGCAAACCCATTTTTCTTTCTCCAATGCTAAAAGCAACGCTTTTTAAAAAATAAAAATGGAGACAGGGTCCCACTGTGTGGCGCAGGCTGGTCTCAAACTCCCGGGATCAAGCGATCCTCCTGCCTCCACCTCCCAAAGTGCTGTGATGACAGGTGTGAGCCACCGCAGCTGGCCGACAGCCCTGGACCCGTCACCTCTCCCGGACAGCAGCACGTGACTCTGCTTCCTCGTACAGCAGCGCCCTGACGATGTCCACTGAACCCGCTCTTCAAGGTCAGCTCTAAATCCAGCGGCCAAGCCTCAGCCCTCACTCACAGGACTTAGGACCATCCTTTAAGGCAGGGGACCAGGCCCACGCCATCCTCCTGAGCAGGCTTTTCTCCAACGTGCCTTTCAGGACACTGCGCTGGTTTCCTTCTCCCTTGGTGGCCCCTCCTAAATCTCCATTGCTGGTTCTGTTGCTGGAAAGGGATCCCCATCCAGACCCCACTAGAGGGTTCTTGGATCTCATGCAAAAAAGAATTCAGGGCAAGTCCACGGGGCAAAGTGAAAGCATGTTTGTTAAGAAAGCAAAGTGCTGAAGGAGCAGCTCCTCCGTAGACAGTAGGAACACGTCCACCCTGGGTACAATGCTTGTTTATGTATAGGATTTAAAAAATCACGGAATTGCCTGAACCCAGGAGGCGGAGGTTGCGGTGAGCCGAGATCGCCCCATTGCACTCCAGCCTGGGTAACAAGAGCGAAACTCCGACTCAAAAAAAAAAAAAAAAAAAAAAAAAAAAAAAAAAAAAAAAAAAAAAAAAAAAAAAAAAAAAAAAAAAAAAAAAAAAATCTGATAAAAAAAAAAAAAAAAAAAAAAATCAGGGAAAACGTCCTCTGCTACAAGGGTTTGTGATAAAGGATTAATTTTCTTAATTACTATTTTTTGCAAGAATCAATATTATTATATTTAAAGCCAACTTACAAATGCTTCTGTTCTCAAGGTATCGGGATATCAGGACCCTCCCAAGTCGGGGTCTGTTTAGTAAATGTTATCCATCTGTTCCCTTAGCCATAAACATCTAGAGGCCGGGAATACCCAACTTTCTGGGAGCGCAGCCCAGCAAGTGCCAGCGCCGTTTTCCTAGTGCTCACTCAAGACGCAGTTGCTCGGGTTCGAACACCTCTGACAGTTCCTCTTGCCAGGAATGTTTTTCCCTCAAATATCTGCAGTCTCCCTTGTCGCTCCCTTGAAGTCCTCGTCAAAGCCTTCTGTCTCTGGAAACCACAACGCCCACTCATTTGAAGCTGCAATCTGTTCCCCCTTACCGTCCTCTTCGTTTTCCCAAGAGCACCTGCCATCTTTAACCTGTAGTATAACTGACTGACTTACCATGTTGACTGTCTTCCACCCTCCTCCACCTTCACTGCAACAGAAAGTCCATGAGGGTAGGGCTTGTTTCTGTTTTGTTCAGTGCTGCATGCCCCGTGCCTGGAACTGTGACGAGCACTCAATTAATCACTGTAAGTGAATCCATTAAATAAGGATGTGCTGGGGCTCCTGTGGGAAGGAAGCTGCGCCAACTTGGCATTTCAAATACAGCATTCATCATACTGAAGAGTGTTTGACCTGATGCAGCCATACCAGGCTGTGTCATTCCAATTTTCAAAAGTGTAAATGTTGTCAATAAATGTACACTTGTCACTTAAGTACAAATCTTAATCGCTTGTAGAAAGTTTTAGAACACCTAAGAGTACTTAATCACCATAGGTATAATTCAATTTATTAAATTTGTAAAGAATTATTTACAGGACTTAGGAAAGTTTGTCAACGTCCTCAACAGAAAGTAGAAGATATTAAATCTATAGGCAACCTAAAATATTTAAGAGCATTTAACTAAGACTGTAAAGGAGACCCAAAATTCATGTGTATTCCCTTTAAAAATGATTATACAAATTTTCTAGGTTTATAAATAATAAGATTCACAAGCTGAATGTAAAAGCTTAAGAAATACTTTGGTTCTTTAGTAGATTAAATTTTAAAAACAAAAGAAAATATATAGTCTTTTTCTCGATGTGTCAGTACTCATGTACACACACACACACACACACACACACACACCCCTAGAGCACCAAAAACTCAACTATTTAAGCATGTCACTAGTGCCCCCTAGTGGCTGAATGGAGAAACAACACATGTACATTGAAGAATAAATTTTATTTTATTTTACTTTATTTTTTTGAGACAGTCTTGCTTTGTTGCCCAGGGTGTAGTGCAGTGGTGCAATCATGACTGACTGCAGCCTCAACCTCCTGGGCTCATGTGATCCTCCCACCTCAGCCTCCCAAGTAGTTGGGACCAAAGGTGCATGCCTCGCCTGGCTGATATATATACACGTGTGTGTGTGTGTGTGTGTGTGTGTGTGTGTGTGTGTGTGTGTATAAGCACAGATGATCTCACTATGTTGCCCACGCTGTCCTCGAATTCCTGGGCTCAAGTGATACTCTTGCCTTGGGCTCCCAAAATGCTGAGGTTACAAGCGTGAGCCACTCGCCCCGCCAATAAATGTTAAATACTTAGTAAAAGCCTAATAAAAATGTAAGACACTATGTATGACATACAAATTAAATTTTTTTCATCAATGAGTTCTCGCTACAAATTTTCAATGCAGTGATAGATTTCATGGTGTGTCTCCACTGTCCATAAACCCTGGGATGGAACAGACCAGGGCTCTGGGAGCTCAGGGAGGACACAAGGAAGAAGATCCTGGAAGGCTCCATGAAGCAGGTGCACCCAAACTGGGCTCCAAAGTAGGAATCACGTCTGCAGGAAATTAAAATGTTGGACCCATGTTGGCCAGGCAGCAAGCCCTTTGGCTCGGTAACAGTTTTCTTCACACTTCAATAAAGAGCCAGCTATAGACACCATCGGTCTATATTGGATATAATGAAGAAACACTAATGTTGAGCAAATCATTCCTTTCGTTTGGACAAAGTAATCTTTCCTCCAAGTGTTTGATCACAGCAAGTCAGAGACATGAAAAGGAGAGTCATGGTCCTTTCCCTGTTGCCACACCAGGAATCCCGGCACAGCTTGATTAACAGGCCCTGTCTCCAAACAGAACCCCGGAACGCAGTTTTGTGTGAGCAGAAGCTGAGCCCTTGGAGTGATGTTTGGAAGTGGAGTCCAAAGGGGACACAACCAGACACTTAGAGACCTGGGGACTGAACAAAATTCAGTGAGAGCTGTCTGCGCTGGGGGAAAACACCCTTCTGGTACTGAAGAGGGGCTAAATGTCATCTCCACCAAACGGTGGTCACTGGCCTCCATGGTGAGAATGGTTTCAACTGAAAGCAGGCAAAAGGGTACATTGTTTGAGTGCCACCCTTAAAGGCCACATCTCAGGGGAGGGACTTTAGTATGTAAGAGAACCTCCCAAGGAACCGTCAAAAATGGAGGGTTATACTTTTCACTCAATGTTGCTGAGAACCTGTAAACACTCTAAAAAATAGTTCTTACACACACACACACACACACACACACACACACACACACAGAGGGTCAGTTTTTGAGTCCAAGTGCACAAGCAAAAAGGTAGTAGCCTTGTAGTTTGAGGAGTTTCAAAACAGACACACAACTTCATACCCCCAGCCAAGGCTCCCGTGCCTCCTACCTTCCGACGTCCACCTGAGCCAAAAGCCTGTGCCCAGTTGAAGTGAAGAGTCAGTACAGCTGGGGGGCGAGGGCTGACAGGTTAAACAGCACAGACGGACGAGGCTCGTGAGGACTGTCTACCATCCGTCCAAGAGCAACAGCTGAGCCCGACCCAGCGCCTCTGCAGCATCTACGTCGCCTTCATTCCAAGAATCAGTGAAAGTAAACATTGCGGTTACTTAAAATCTCACCAGTGGTTTTAATGCATTTATAGCTTTGTCCAGAGTAAATTATTTTCTCAAATGGAACTATTCAGTACCAAAAATTAATTCCATTGAGTGTTTTTGTAAATCGCAAATCCTTAGGACACAGCCTCTCCAGCTTAGCAAGTCCATAGAGAAGCTCAACAATCTGCATTTTTAGGAAACTTCTGCAGTGACTCTGGCACAGTTAGGCCGGTAATACTTTGAGAACAGCACTTCCAGGACAGGGAAGTGGAAGAGATGGCTTTCACCTCTGACCTGTGGGACACCCAAATTCAAGTTTTAGAAAGACTGTAGTTTGTTTACATAACAAGCAAACTGAGCCCTTTGGGTACATATTTAAAAGAAGAAAAAGAATCATACTGAAAATATTTATGATTCAATCAGTATAAAAATATAGATGTAGGGGAAAAAACATTTGTAATCAACATGTGCTGTTTCATACTTCAGGTACCAGAAAGAAAAAGGATAAACTTCAGGGTTTCATAGTCTCTTGGTTAAACAAAAAACCCCACCTAGAAGTGACCCAGCAGTTCAAAGGACTCGAAGCTTCCGAAGGCTCCCGGGGAGCAGAGCTGACTAGTACCAGTAGACCTGGAAATAATGCATTCCTGGTTGGTACTGACCCACTTAATTTCATGTGGAACCTAGAGTCTTGCCTGATTTGATTTCATTTTTCTTCTCATCAGGGGAATTACCCACTAAGCATATAACAGCTTGTAAAGAAAACATGCCGTTTTAGCTTGACGTTCATTTGCACCTGTCACACATGCATCAGAAACTCTGCCCCGCTTCCTCATAATCCCTCTCCAGGGCCGCCAGGTCTTCCCTGGCCTCCAAGAATTCCGCTTCTTCCATGCCTTCTCTGATGTACCAGTGCAAAAATGCCCTCTTGGCGTACATGAGGTCAAACTTGTGGTCCAGGCGGGCCCAGGCCTCCACGATCGCCGTGGTGTTGCTCAGCATGCAGAGGGCCTGGTGGGCTTTGGCCAGGTCCCCACCTGGCATCACCGTGGGCGGCCGATTGTTGAAGCCCACCTTGAAACCCGTTGGACACCAATCTACAAACTGAACAGAGTGCCTCGCCTTCATGGTTGCGATTGCTGCATTCGCTTCCCTAGGGACCACATCCCCTCTGTAGAGTAGGCAGCAGGCCATGTACTTCCCAAGCCGAGGATCACACTTGACCAGCTGGTTGGAGGACTCAAAGCAAGCAGTGGTGATGTCTGACACGGAGAACCGCTCATGGTAGGCTTTGTCAGCAGAGACAATGGGGGCAAAGGTGGTGATGGGGAAATGTATTCTCGGGTAAGGTACTAGGTTGGTCTGGAATTCAATTAGGTCCACATTCAAGGGCCCTTCAAACCGGAGGGGGGCAGTGATGGAAGATACTGCCTGAACCATCAGTCTATTGATGCTGGCGTAAGAGGGGCGTTCAACACCGAGTTTGTGATGGCATATATCATAGACGGCCTCATTGTCCACCATAAAGGTACAGTCCGCGTGCTCTGTGGTGGAGTGGATGGTGAGGACAGAGTTATAAGGCTCCACCACGGCAGTGGAGACCCTGGGGGCTGGGTAGACCGAGAACTCCAATTTCGTCTTTTTGCTATATTCTCCCGTGAGCCGCTCCATTAAAAGAGATGTAAACCCCGAACCAGTGCCCCCTCCAAAGCTTCGGAAAATCAAAAATCCCTGAAGTTCACCACACTGTTCTGCCTGAAGAAAGTAAACAGGATGTGAGAATTCGGCTGAACAAATCCAGAAGCGGTGAACTGGATGGTGGTGACAGGACCCAGGAGGTTTCCCCAAAACACAGACTTCCAGAAAGGACTCCTTTGCCATTATTAACTCCACAACAAACACAGCTGTTTCGAAATACTCTCAGGGGTACTTCTGGAGTAGGCAAAGCCCTTCAGAGCTTTGCTACAAGCAGAGCACAAATAGCCACCTGTCTTTCACTGTCCCCTGCGTGTCTATCTGTATGTGATCGCAAGCAAGGCCTTTATCCATAACAAAGAAAATGACAAAACACTGGAGCGAAATAACATTCCCCCCACTTCTATGCTCCATCTGGCATGCTGGCGTAAAAGGCGTTGTAGGAGCAAACAAATATGCCAAACACCAAAACCCTTATTCAGCAAAGGGTCTCCAGACTCAGGCCCTTAAAGAGGAGTTACAGCCACGCAACTCCAGGTAGGGTGTTCCTCTTGCTAACTTCATAAGCAGCAGTTACTCTTGGAAAATGACAGGTTACTCTTGGAAAGTGACAGGTTTTAGAGTGTGTGAGAGTGTGTCTCTCATTACAAGATAAACCCTGTGTTAGGAGAAGCAAGGATGATCAGGTGATCAGAGGACCCCGAGTAAGAGTAAAGGTTTCTGTCCCCTTCCTACTAACAAGGGGTAATCAAAGCCAAGATGAGGGCCCCTCCCCAGTTCCGAGCACCCAGGCCAATGCCCAGGGAGAGAGGGTTGGTGGCAATGGTGACAGCAGATAATGCTGGTCAATTCTGCCACAGGACCCCACATGCCCCAGGCACAGCCCCCTTGGAGGAGAAGGGGAGCCACTTGCCAGCTTCCGGGTCCTCTCCAGCACAAGGTTGATGACCTCCGACCCCACAGAGTAACGACCCCGCGCGTAGTTGCTGGCAGCATCCTCCTTTCCGCTCAGGAGCTGCTCTGGGTGGAAGAGTGAACGGCGCTCTCCTGTCCGGATCCCATCTGCAGAGGGCCAAAGGAGGTCAGGGCAGTCAGTGCAATTCAGCCGTCCACCTTCTGCTAGTCCTCCTGGGCCCTCCCTGGACCTGATGACCCCCGTGCTTTCTCTCAATGCTGTGGTCCAGGAATGGAATTCAGATGGTGCTGAATTAGCCTGTCTTAGTCCAGGAAAGGGCGGAATTCTTTACATATACATGGAAAGTATGTTTTTCCACCATGCACCCCTGATTAGTTTCCCAGGTCTGCCATAACCAATGACAGCAAACGTTGTGGCTTAAGAGGAATTTATTTCCTAACAGCTCCGGAGGCCAGAAGTGTACACTGCTGGAGGCCCCGGGGAGCCCAGTCCAAATGCCTCCCCTGGCTCCTGGTGACTCACAATTCTTAGCTCTCCTTGGCTCCTAGCTGCCCCCTTCCCATCTCTGCCTCTGGCACATGAGCTTTTCCCCTGTATGTGTGTCTGTGCTCTCCTGATAAGGACACAATTCTTCAACATTCGTCCTCCCTAATCCAGGAGGACTCATTTTAACCAATCACATCGACAAAGACCCTGTCTCCAAATAAAGTCACATTCTGGGGTTCCAGGTGGATATGAATTTGGGGGGACACTCTTCAATTCACTGCCCACCCTACAACACATTGGCATTTTGAGACAAGTATTTTTATCTACAAATAGCCAACTGCGTGCTGGAAAATCACATAGAAAGGCATATCCAGGGTGCGGTGGCTCATGCCTACAATCCCAGCACTTTGGGAGGCTGAGGCAGGTGGATCACCTGAGGTCAGGAGTTTGAGACCAGCCTGGCCAGCATGGTGAAACTCTGCCGCTACTAAAAATACAGGAAATTAGCCAGGCATGGTGGTGGGCACCTGTAATCCCAGCTACTCGGGAGGCTGAGGCAGAAGAATGACTTGAACCTGGGAGGCAGAGGTTACAGTGAGAGGAGATCACCCCATTGCACTCCAGCCTGGGCAATAAGAGTGAAACTCCTTCTCAAAAAAAGGAAAATAAAATAAAATAAGTTTTTAAAAAGAAAGGCATATCCATCTTTTAAATCCACTTCAAAAGAGGATTTAACAGGGAAGGCATGGCGAACTCAAATGCCCACACGACCCAAATGCCATGGGCATAAATGCATGACGCAGGGAAATTGGCATTAAGATGTTGGCAGTATCCAGTACAACTGAGGGCAACCCTTGCCAGGTCTCATTGCCTTCTAAAACCCTGGGCAGCATGCCCTACTCTGCACCTTAGAATTACTCAAATAGCATTATTCCTGATGATTAAGCAGCAGTGTTTCAGGGCTAAGCAGGCTTTGGGACCGCTGCCCTGGTTACCGCGGGATACTGCATTGCTTAGTAGTTAAATGCATGTTTCAAGAATCAGTTTCCTGGGTTCCTATCTTGCCTTCCTCACTAAGCTAGAGAGAAGTTACTTAGTCAGTGATTTTAGCTCATAAATAAGGATTATAACAAGACCTACCCCAGTGAGCTGTTATGAGAACATAAGGCACAACGCATGGCCCATATAACAACAACAATTATAAGGAAGAATGACGGAACTGGCTTCATGACATGCATTTATGCAGATTTACCTCATTATACACCACAGCCTTGGCACCAGATAGCCAAGCCAGTCCTAGAAGCTCACAGCCTAAGGAGAGACGCATTGTGTTTCTATTTAATCAGAGCAAGGTCGTTCTTTCAATTCACCGCACCTTCCTGTGCATGAATTTCTAAATTCCAATTTTGCAACCTCTCAAATAATATTTATTAAATTTGAGTTTAAATAACGTTTAACTAGCTTACATACAAACCTCCCCCAGAGCTAAGATGTTTAAAAGATACATTTATAAACAAGCTATAAGTGAACGTGTATTTCTGTGTGGACTATTTCCTTCTCATCTGAAGCTATAAGGCTAAATTCCGACTGGGGAAGTAATTTACAGAAGCTTCCTTCTTCATGACAAAGTTGAATCAGGATCTTGAGGGTCAATATGTTCATATGTTTTTTTCCATAAAATCCATTCTCTCAGAGGTTAGTGGTTGCACCTGCCATTCCTAAGTAACCAGCCTTCCATTCTAATTTCCCAGGCACAGGTTTCCCAGGGGCTTCAGTACCCAGCATGGTGCCCTTAATCAATATCCTCAGAGACTTCAATAGTTTTGAACAATTATATGACAGCTCCTTAGCTTCCTTAACTACAGTGTCATTCAGCTGCCCTCCACTTCCATCATCACTCAGAACTCTCCCGCTTCCAAAATCTTAAACTCGCAAATTCCTTTCTCTGACCACAACTTCCTTACTTTGTCCTAACTTCACCCTTGAGCCTGCCCCGGACCAGCTTCCCAGCCTCATACCCCGATTTGTGCTCCTGCTCACCTATGTCTGGCCACGGTGAACTCCTGGTTACACTTGCGGCATTCCTTCGTGGCTCTGAATTTGCAAATGCTGACCCTTCATGAGAGGGTGTGTGAGGCTGTGTGTGGTGGCCCATGCCTGGAATCCCAGCACTTTGGGAGCCCAAGGTAAGAGGATCATTTGAAGTCAGAAATTTGAAACTAGCTTGGGCAATATAGTGAGACCCTATCTCTACAAAAAACAAAAAATTGGCCAGACACAGTGGCTCACGTCTATAATCCCAGCACTTTGGGAGGCTGAGACAGGTGGATTACTGGAGGTCAGGAGTTCAAGACCAATCTAGCCAATACAGTGAAACCCCATATCTACTAAAAATACAAAATTAGCTGGGCCTGTCGTGTGCCTGTAATCCCAGCTACTCAGGAGGCTGAGGCAGGAGAATCTCTTGAACCTGGGAGGCAGAGGTTGCAGTGAGCCGAGATCACGCCACTGCACTCCAGCCTGGGTGACAGAGCAAGACCTCATCTCTCTCTCTAAAAAACAAGCAAGCAAACATATTTCATGACTCCCTGGTTATTCATTCCTTCTGCCTTGCAGAGCAAGCTTGTCTAACCCACAGTGCACAGGCCGCATGCAGCCCAGGACAGCTCTGAACGCAGCCCCACACAAATTCGTAAATGTTCTTAAAACATTGAGATTGTTTTGCAATTTTTTTTTTTAGTTCATCAGCTATGTTAGTGTGAGTATATTTTATGTGTGCCCCAAAACAATTCTTCTTCTTCCAATGTAGCCCAAGGAAGGCCAAATTATTGGACATTCCTTTTGTAGAAAGTTCCATTAAGTTATATCATATATAAAAAAATTAATTTTTTAGGTTAAAAAATAGTCATACACTGGCAATTTTATATGACTCCACTTAAACAGTGTTGTTGTAACTATTTATATTTTCTTCTTCACTAGATTAGGCTACTTTTCTGTTAAAAGGCAATAGATTTAATAAGAAGGCAAACCTGGGACCAAACCCAGCTCTACTCTAATAGCTCAGTGATCTTAAGAAGTTCCTTGACCTCCCCAAGATTTCTGAAATTCCTCATCTATAAATTGAGGATAATAGTGTCTCCTGACAGAGTGCTGAAAGAATTAGAGGAACATACCTGGGCAGGTCCTCAACTGGTAAAGAACAGCTGCTGTGGGCTAAATGGCTGTGTCCCCCCAAAATTCATGTGTTGAATCCCTAATCCCCAATGCGATGGTATCTGGAGGTGAGTCTTTGTGGGTAACTAGGTCATAAAGGTAACGACTTCATTATGGAATTAGGGCCCTTATAAGAAGAGACACAGGCTATTTCTCTGCCATATGGGGATACAGTGAAAAGGCGGCCATCTGCAAGCCGGGAAGACAGACTTCACCAGAAGCCAAACACCAGGCACCCTGGTCTCAGATTTTCAGCCTCCAGAACTGTGAGAAATCAACAACTGTGGTCTAAGCCACTGGGTCTGTGGTGTTCTGATACAGCCGTCCCAGCTGACCAAGACGGGCAACAGCATCTTCACATCAAAGGCAAAAATCAGCAGTTATTCATCTTAGTACTCCCGTCACCCAGCTGAAGTGTTTATGGGGTTGTATTCAATTCCCTCTTATCATGACCTTGAATTCATCAGCCTCTCCTTTTCTCCACCCCTCCCACTACCTCTCAGCCAACAGCCAGCCCCCAGGGGCCATCGATGGAAATGAGTGACTTTCAAAGTGATGCCCCAGCTCCCACTTGAGCCTTCCTAGCTAGTACCACATGGAGCAGAGGGGAGCTGTTGCCTCTGAGCCCCACCCAAATTGTAGATTCAAACCAGTAATTATTATTGCCTTACACCACTACATGTAGGGCCGGGCACAGTGGCTCATGCCTGTAATCCCAGCACTTCAGGACGCTGAGGCGGGTGGATCAACTGAGGTCAGGAGTTCAAAACCAGCCTGGCCAACATGGTGAAACCCTGTCTCTACTAAAAATACAAAAAAAAAAATTAGCTGGGCGTGGTGACAGGTGCCTGTAATCACAGCTACTGGGGAGGCTGAGGCAGGAGAATCCCTTGTACCCAGGAGGTGGAACTTGCAGTGAGCCAAGACTGCATCACTGCACTCCAGCCTGGGCAACAAGAGTGAAACTCCATCTCAAAAAGTAAAAAATAAAAAAAACCACTAAGTGTAGGCGAAGTTTATTACACACGAACAAAGGATGTACAATAGGAAACGCAAATCTACCCCAATCTCTAGCTTTTCTCTTAAGTCAGTAAGAGCCCCTCTCTCCTGTATTTTTCTAGCTCCATTTTAAGAGTTTTGGCATGACATATTATGAAGTATATCATTAGTAATCTTAAAATTGTACTGTTTTTCCCATAACTAGAGTATATATTTGCTTCTTGTTCTTTGGGATCCTTTTCAAATATTCAACTTTTTAAGTAGCTATCGAAAAACTTTCCGATTCTTTGCCAGTGCCTTCTAGCAAATGGCTCTTGAACCCAAGAAAAGACTTAGTGTTCCGTTACAATCCATATGTGGATCAATTAGCAGGTCTTAATTCATTTCATCACATAGGTAAAGAAGGCTAAACTAGGCCAAGCACAGTGGCTCACGCCTGTAATCCCAATACTTTTGGAGGCCAAGGCAGGTAGGTTGAGGTCAAGAATTCAAGAGCAGGCTGGCCAACATGATGAAACCCCATCTCTACTAAAAATACAAAAATTAGCCAGGCATGATGGTGCGTGCCTGTAGTCTCAGCTACTCGGAGGCTGAGGCAGGAGAATCGCTTGAACCCAGGAGGAGGAGGTTGCAGTGAGCCAAGATTGTGCCATTGCACTCCAGCCTGAGTGACTCCGTGTCAAAACTAATTAATTAATTAATTAAAATTAAAATTGATAAAGGCTAGTCTTCCCTTTAGGTGTGTTTGTCATGTTAATCACCCTAAATGGCCATTGAGTAAGCCTCTACATTTGGGAAAGGTCCATGTGATTTCATTCAGATGGACCGTATAATCTGATCATCCCATCCGCTTGATTTCTTTGAGTGTGGCTCCAGTTAAGTATACTAGAATGTGACGTTTATGGTACCTATAACAGTTGGCTCCAAGTCCACGAAGAGTGCCCTAGGCACATGCTTCCCAGCTCTTATCTCCCGGAAGAAGGTATCGAAAGATGCATTTGTGTGCTCCGTTTTCGCATTTTCCAGCTGATTCTGATGACTGTCAAGAACAACTCCGTCTGGCTGGATTCCATGTTCCAGGCAATAGAGCTCCCAGCAAGCATCCCCAATCTGGATGCCAGCTTGACCGATGTGGATGGAAAGGCACTCCCTCTGAAATAAGCCATGGGGAGTTGGAACTGAGCAGGCGTTTAGACAACAGGAGATCTGCTATTCAGCACTTCCGGTTACAAATGGCAGAAACCAAGCTCACTTAAGGACACAGAGAAATGTGTAATAAGGATTATCAAAAGTGTTTCATGGAAATGAGGAGCCAGAGTACAGCTAAGCTTCAGAGACAATTAAATAGGGATTTAAATTCCATTAAAATGTTTATTAACAATATAAATTAAGCACCTACTCTGCACTAAGCTTGGAATTAAGACATACACACACTTACAACGCAAATCAAAATATAACTGCTTTCACTTTATTCGTTTAATATAGGTGAGATGTATGTGTGTCTGTGTGTGTGTGTGTGTGTGTGTGTGTGTGTGTGTGTGTTTAGTTATACATATCAGCTGGACTTGCCTAGAAAGAAAATTAGCTAGTTTTTGGAAAGAAAGAAAACCAAAATCAATACAGAGCCTTGTCAGGTACTAAAACTCATTGCAGATAAATTTAAAATGTTGTCTTTACCATTCATGTGCACTCTGAATAAGGATGGATATACACACTAAACTTAAAACTAGTGGGAAATTTTATAAGGCAAATGCAATGTTTTTAACAGCTCCAAAATGTAAAAGCTTTATAATAAATATATAGAGATAAAAATTGATTTTTATATGTATCAACTTTCTAAAATAAACACTTGAGACATCCACTAGATGGGCAAATGACATAAACAAACAAATTACTAAAGAAAAGACTCTAAAATGCAAAGATGCAGGCTGATGGCATTCACAGCATCATAATTCATAAGCATGAAAACCAAAACCAATTTACTTAATCTAACCATTTGCAGATTGCTGGGCATTTAAAGGATGGTAGATCAATGCAATAGCATGTTATGCAGCCCTTAAATGTTCACCCAAAAAAAGATTTATGACATGGGAAACGCTTATGATAACGTATTAAATCAAAAGCATATAAGATACGTATTTGTATATAGAGGATAATGTCAAATATCTTCAAAAATCGGCATAAAAAATCTAAAAGAAAATGCATCAAGATACTAAATCTAGTTATATTTGGCTAGTGATTTTATTTTCTTGTCTAAACTTTACTATTTCTTCCACCTTCATCAGCGTTCACACTCCCCCATCCCACTTTTAAATCATCTTTTTTTAAAGGCTAACAACTATTCTGTTAATTTAAACAGACAATGATCTATTAAGAGAGGGAAAGAAAAAGCTAAATCCTAAAAAGCCTAAGGTGATAGCAATCGCTGATCTTAATATTGCTGTGGTTTGATTGACAGTGGCACTGGAACAGTCTTGCAGAGGGAGACCCTCTGGTCTTCTGCATCAGGACCCTTTGAGCTGTTTGAACAGATAAGCTGAGGGGAACCCCTTCCTTTGTTCATGTCTACACTGCCTCAAAGCCTGAGATTCTACTACTGAAATACCTCAGGCCTCCTGTCAATCCTGACCTGTGGTCTACACAGGGGTCCCCAATCCCCAGGCTTCTCAGCAGGAGGTGAGCGGCAGGTGAGTGAGCATCACTGGCTAAGCTCTGTCTCCCGTCAGACCAGCAGCCGCATTAGATTCCCATAGGAGCACTAAATCTATTGTGAACTGTGCATGCAAGGGATCTAGGTTGTGTGCTTCTTATGAGAATCTAAGTACTGTAATGCCTGATGATCTGAGGCGGAACAGTTTCACCCAGAAACCATCCCCCACCGCCGACTCCATGGAAAAGTTGTGTTCAACGAGATTGGTTCCTGGTGCTAAAAAGGTTGAGGACCACTGGTCCACAGAGACCACAAGTCAGAGGGAAGTAGGGAGAAGGCTCTGGCCAGCCACACCCCTGCAATCTGACTTGGACTCTGCTCATGTCCAATGGCATCAAACCTTTGTACTTTGTCTCGGTAATTCACAAGGCATAACACAGCCCTCTTTGCTTCATGACCAATTCAAGTTCACTAACTTAGTAGGGCTTCCATCTTGTTTCTTTTCTGAGCAACTAACAGTCTCTTCTGACAAAGGTATCAAACTTAATTAACTTAATTTAGAAAGCACTTTGCTTAGGACCAACTAATATTCCACCTCTTGGAACAGCACATTCTGTTCTAAGCAGACTTCAGATACCCTCAGTCGTATTCCTCTCAGCTGTCGGACTTAAAGTGCTGTAAATACATTAGCTGCTGTGATCTGATCAAAACTTGGCTCTCTAAATTTAAGTTAAAATTTTTTTTTAAAAGAGGGTGAAACATTGTTTCTACATCATTAAAACCTCTTACTTTTCTCTGCCTTCTCCCCTGGCTACCACCCAGTCCTGTGCTACGGTGACAAGGAAAATTCAGGTGTGCATGTGGTATTTGTTCACAATATTCACAGTAAAAATAATCACTAACATTGAAAAAAGATTGTCCCTCTTCACATGCTCTGTTCAAGCAACTCAGAAAGCAGAGTGATGCTGTTCTTTTTGAACTCAGCATGAATAGCCTGGACTAACAAGCATCCTCTGTCCAAGAGTATAGAAGACTATCTTCGCCTTATTCTTCTCTTAAGCCTCTCCCTTTTTTCCAAATTCTCTATTAAAATATTAGTCACACTATAAAATAGAAGATGATAAAATGCCCACTGAATGTCAGAACTCACAGGTCATAGTACATTATTAAATGCTGCTACAAGGATTATTTGAATTACTAGAACAGCATAACTCTTAATTAAACTGTTAATGTTGAGCTCTCTATAGACTGACACACAGTTGTAAGGAGTACTGCGTATCAATCTACAGGGATCTCAACATTAACAGTTGAGATCTTGTAGGAAGATCCCTTGTAACCCCTACCCATTTCCCCCAGTGGAAATATCTTGCAAGACTGTCATACAAAATCACACCCAGAACGCTGACATTGATAGTCAAGATACAGAATATGCTGTTATCACAAGTCTCTCTCATGTTGAAAGGCATAATTTTTAAAAGCAAAACAATTTAAACATTTGTAAAAGGTTGGACAGAGAGGCCAATGGGGTGAGAAATCAAAGATGAAGCAGTTTGAAATGTTGCTTCCATTGAAGAAATAAAAATTCAAAGATACTGAAAAACTAGAAGATATTCACGTAGTGCTCATGCAGTAGAAAAAACTGCTTTACTGTAGTAGCAAATTTCACTCACACTCTTTCCTTTTTCCATGCCAATGCTAAGTAAATTCTCAACCCAAAAGGGGATTTTTAAAAGACACATGTTCTTTTCAACATAAGTATAAGTTGGATGCAGATTTGGATAAGCTCTCAGTAGTTCATCTGTAGTTGTGTACAAACTTTATCCCAGAAGAAAATAAAGGGGAAGTGGATCTGAAAGGTAGTCCCCAAACAGAATTATTGTAAGTTATTCTAGTCATTGTGGTGCCAAAGAACTAAACTCACGGAAGGAAAAGAAGATGTCTGTGCACTTTACCCTGCCAGGCATTTATGAGGCTAACAATGGTTACCTAAGACTGAAGTCCTCAGAAACTCTTAACAGCATAACGAAGGGTGAAGCAATTATTAAAGAAAAATCAGCCCTCTGGGCCTAAAACAAAGGTGAAACTAAGAGAAGGAGAGATTTCTGCTTCAGTGCTTCAATTAGTGGCAGTGAAATACTACGAATCAACTGAGCTTTACCTTGAAAGAAGCAGCACTGCAGAGGAACAGATGACAGCCTGTCCACATCTGACCCCAATGCATCTACACGGATGTTGAAAGAAGCAAATATTTCTGTACAAATTTCTTGTCTGGCATTGCAATTTTATCAAGAATTGTTTGCTGTGAGAAAAGGCCCAAATATGATCAGTAAAATTTCCTAGAGCAATGCACAGGCATGTAGCCACTTACCATGCTGATGAGAACGGGCCCCTCCTGCTCTGTAGTAATGACTGAGGAGCCTCCCAGCTGAGCTTTATCACAAGGCCCGGAAATAACTGCACCTGAGGGCTGGAGCGTTCTTCACTTAAAGCAGAACAGCTTCTTTTCAGTTTTTTAGTTATCTGGTCCCTGAGTAGCTGAGTTGGGCCTGAACAACCTGGGATAAAGTTTGTACACAACTACAGATGAACTACTGAGAGCTTATCCAAATCTGCATCCAACTTATACTTATGTTGAAAAGAACATGTGTCTTTTAAAAATCCCCTTTTGGGTTGAGAATTTACTTAGCATTGGCATGGAAAAAGGAAAGAGTGTGAGTGAAATTTGCTACTACAGTAAAGCAGTTTTTTCTACTGCATGAGCACTACGTGAATATCTTCTCAAACAAATTTAAACAATCCCTGAATACATGGAGCAAACCAAGACAGTGTCCTTTTTACTTCTATGTGCCCTATTCATGTCCCTCATGAAATGGATGTCCCTCATCCAAACATAGAGGAATTTTCTATGTTTTTATTATTATTTTTTGAACTTTTATCGTGCATAATATATACTTATGTTATTTTTTATTAATTGCACTAGGATCGGATAACACATCTTAACTGATTTTTCTTCTTATATATTTGCTAAAACTTCCTTTATATTCTACTACACAGTCAATTTTTGAAAATGTTCCATGAGCATTGAAAAGAATGCACATACTGCATTTGTTGGATGCAGTGTTTTAGATACATCGATCATTCAATCAATCTCTCTATTAAGTCAAACAGCTATATTGTGTAGTCCAAATTTGAGTAGCAATTATTTCAAAAGATGTGTTAAAATTTTTCATTATAACTTGAATTTGACCATTATTTCTTTTTCTGTCAATTTTTGCTTTATATATTTTGAGGCTGTGTTCTGAAGAGCATATAAATTTTAAATTATTAGATTTTCAAAAACTTTAATTTTTTTGTTTTTAAATGACCCTCTTTAGCTACATTAATAATTTTTACCTTAAAATTTTTATGATCGAATATTAATATTACTACTTTAATAGAGATTTTTTGGTTCACATTCGAATGATCGTATTTTCCCATCTTTTTACATTCTTAGAAATTTAAAACCTTTCCATATTCTCATATTTGGGATGTGTTCTTTGCATGCATGATATAATTGGATTCTTTTTCTATTTTTATATTTGAATTGGAGAATTCAGTTCATTACATTTAATACAATAACTAATATAGTTGGGTTTAGATGTAGAGTACTATTTTATTTTGAGCTTTCTGCTTGTCTCCATTTTCTAAGCTCTCTTTTCTTCCTGGTCTTCTTTTGAATTGATGACATGTTATTTTAGCACAGTAACAGTTTTATTATTCAGTAATCAAAATAAAATGTCTGTTACTCAAGAATCTTGGTTTCTACCAGTTCTTCCTTATGACTTTGAGAACACCTTGTAGTGTCCTTCAGCTGTTTTCTCCAGAACTTACAAATTATACTTTCTCTCATTTTGATCTCCACAAGGTCAATCCTCTCTGTCTCTGTCAATAACTCCCTAAATGTTTAGCATCCTGGTAGTTCCATATAATAAAAGGAAAAAATAAGCCAGTTCCATTTTATAAAATCAGAATGACATTTATGTTGTTGTTGTATCAAATATTCTTTCATTGGTCCCAGATATTTTCAGTTTGGAACAAGATGAGGGAAAAATCAGATAATTTGAGTATCTCATTTCTAGTCCACTGGTGCACTCAGTATCTCTCACTGACTTTTAAAAATTGTCAACCTTACTTGGGGCTATAATTAACTCATATTTACACAGGAATTAGAAGTAAACTAGAAAAATCTCTTTTGTAGATTAATTTTAAGAATGCATGTTATCTTTTAGTAATTCCTATTTTTTTAAAAAAAAAAGACTAGGTCTTTAAGAAAAAAGCTTCCTCAAGTGATAATAACTAGAATTTCAAGTCTGAAGAGGCCTTCTGGGGTGATAGTTTTTTGTGTCAACTTGGCTAGGCTGTGGCACCCAGTTACCCAATCTAACACAATCTGGGTATTGCTATGCAGGCATTATGGAGGTGTGGTGAGCGTCTCCAGTCAACTTTGACTTAAAGTAAAGGACATCACATTAGTGAGTGGGCCTCATCCAATCAGTTGAAAGACGTTAAGAGCAAAGTGAAGATTTCGCTGAGGAAGAAATTTCACGGCACCCTTAGTTTCAGCTTTAGCTGTTACCAGGAGTTTCCAGCCTGCCAGCCTGCCCTACTGCTTCCAGACTTTACAGCCCCGCACTCACACTAACCTATTCATTGAAATAAATCACACACACACTACTGGCTCTGACATACTTGGTGCCCACTGTAGGTCATGAGAATGAAAAAATGTCCAAGGGTCAAAAGTGTGGTATTTATACTCAGGATTTCCTTGTTCAATGTTCCTTTCTTGGCCGGGCGCAGTGGCTCACGCCTGTAATCCCAGCACTTTGGGAAGCTGAGGCGGGCGGATCACCTGAGGTCAGAAGTTCAAGACCAGCCTGACCAACATGGTGAAACCCCATCTCTACTAAAAATACAAAAAATTAGCCAGTCATGGTAGTGGATGCCTATAATCCCAGCTACTGTGGAGGATAAGGCAGGAGAATCACTTGAACCTGAGAGGCAGAGGTTGCAGCAAGCCAAGGCCAGGCCATTGCACTCCAGCCTGGGCAACAAGAGGGAAACTCTGTCTCAAAAAATAAAAATAAAGAAGTTCCTTTTGTAAGTATTTTTCAATGTGAGCCGGTCAATTCACTGTCTAAGTAATGAGACAAAACCTTCTAAGCTAAAAAAAAAAAAAAAAAAAAGTTAAAAAACAGATTATCCGACTCTGAGCAATAATTCTGATTGACATCCTGGCATTCTGACATTTCCGAAATTCTCTTTGGTAATTCTTTGTTGGCAGCCTCACCACCACAGCCAGGTCACTGTCCTCTGCCATCCTCTCTGTCCCCGACCATTGCATGGAAACCCCTTTCTCCTTCCTCCTCTATTTGCCTCTCCCACTACTAATATAAGTCAGTTTTTTAGACCTGCAATGTCACTAGGAAGATAGTCTAAGCATTAAGAAAAATGAATCACAGTCTACTTTGGATTAATAGCACCTTCTCTGGCCACACATATTTAATCTCAAGTTTCATTCTTCTTCTCGAAGCTCAAAAGCTACATTTTGGAATTTTCCTCATTGGAATACCTAACAGTAAACCAACATGGTAAATAAATGATTCATAGATATTGATTGATTGACAGATAGATAGATATAGACAGATAGATAGAGGCAGCAAATGAAACAACCTCTCCCCACACTACATATACACACAGTGATAGATTTTAAGGGATGACAAACCTGATTTCAAATAATCCACCCTACTGTGCCTGTGAGTACGCTTCTGCTTGTCAGGATGGCCATGCAGTCCACGTGCTTAATTATTGAACTACACTCCCTTTCATTTGGCAGGAACAATTATGTTTGACCCAATTAAAAATTAGTCTAATTAACGGTTTTATAAATTAATCAATGGTAGATATATAAAATATATTTTTAAAAATTTCAGACTTTATTATAACATTCTTTATATAAATATATGTATATGCGCATACACATACATTCACTCTCCTGAATGTAATTGCTGTTAGTTCATGAGAAGCTATGAGAAGATTCAGACCAAAAAGTTTTTGAGACGGAGTTTCACTCATGTTACCCAGGCTGGAGTGCAATGGCGCGATCTCAGCTCACCGCAACCTCTGCCTCCTGGGTTCAGGCAATTCTCCTGCCTCAGCCTCCTGAGTAGCAGGGATTGCAGGCACGTGCCACCATGCCCAGCTAATTTTTTGTATTTATAGTAGAGACGGGGTTTCACCATGTTGACCAGGATTGTCTCGATCTCTTGACCTTGTGATCCACCCGCCTCGGCCTCCCAACGTGCTGGGATTACAGGTGTGAGCCACCGCACCCAGCCCAAGCTGCTAGTTTTCTAATGGGAAGTCATTGTTCGCAAATTTACTTCATTTTTCTATGGGAGCCTACAGACCAAAGGAAAATCATCTACCTAGTGATAGTGATGGCAAACAAAAGATCACATCAAAATCAGCAAATAATTTGGAAATTAATAGAATATTTTGATGAATACTTTGTACTCATATATATACACAACCTAGTAAGCAGTTGTGCAAAAATAGTTTGATTTACTTAGACAATGAAAGAAAATAGATTTTAAAATTATTGATTTACATAATAATTTACATTAATTTATTGATTGTTGAATATATTTAATATCAACCTGCAAAAAGACTGGTGTCATCACATAGGGCTGAAGGTTTTGGAAATAATCTTTGAGAAAGTTCTCCAAAAGAATATTTGTTTTGCAAATCCATGGTTGAAGAAGTTTGAGTAACACTTTGCTCCAGTCAAGTTATAATAATCTTCTCAGAGAGGGAGATCTGGAGTCTGATTTTATATATATATATGAGAGGTGAAATCTAAACAATTTCCTCAAACCCTGTCCTGATGAATATTTAAGGGAGAAGGATGATTTGTGTGGAGCTGAGTAGAGAGGTTTCAGAGAACATCTGTCATGGTTTTGGAACTGCTATTCTATAGAGTGTAAGATGTAGAATATGGGGACAGTGGCATTCAGACGCCAGAAAGTTGATCTCGTAGGATGGACCAATGTCACCAGCCTTTCCCAGGTCTTCAATGACCAACCCTCAGAGCAGTCACTTTTCTTTGTTCTTCTTCTATGGTACCTGGCAGTTTTCTGATCAAAATTTGTCTTCTATTCCTTATTTCCCTAATGTCTAAAACACAGATCCTGGCATCTTATAGCAGGAATTTAATAAATCTCCTTGTGAATAAACAAAATCATAAGTTCTCAAAGAATGAAACTGGAAACAGTTGCTCTGCATAAAACAATAGTATTCAGGTCACTGGAAAGACGTACCCACCCCTACCACTGGAATCCCCACATCAACATCCTGCAGTATCTATCACTTTGT